ATGCAAAAAAAAAAAAAAAAAATACCTTGCACTCATTGCTATAAATAATCATGCATGTATTCTCCTTAGAGATGACATTACTCCAATATCTACCAGTGGCAGAGCCTGGTTTGACAAGTAGAATGTCTATATTTCTCACCACTTCTAGTAGTCTGTCTGAGCACGGGTGTTCTGTGCAACCTCTTTATACAAACCAAACTCAAAAAAAAGGGAGCTCTGGTGACATAGTGCCTAAGGCATTTGACTGCTAACCAGAAGGCTGACAGTTCAAACCCATCAGCTACTCCTTGGAAAGAAGACTGGGCAATCTACTTCCATAGAGATACAGCCTGGGAAACCCAAGGAAGGGTCGCTATTATACTGTTTATGCAATAATTTAGTTATCCAATGTTAGCACAGACACAGGATCTAGGATACTCCAGATTAAGATGTTAAATTTAAATGAAACCAAGCTCTAGAAGATTTTCTTTTAAGTGAAAGTTGAAAGTTTGAATAGAAGTATTAAGAATTATGCTTCTGGGAATATTATATTCTCATTCCCTATGCCATTTACAAGGATTAGAAAATTAAGAGCAACATTATGGATTATGGGGTAAGAGTAAGCATATTATTTGCACACATCATTCTTCAGCATTTGGGAAACTTTGAAATGCTTGATAACTTCTAGGTACTACAAATTGCTAATTTTTCATAGTATTTATTACTTTCTAAAATACTATCAGGGAGCTCCAGTGGTGAAGTGATTAAATGCTTGGTTGTTAACTGAAAGGTGGAGGGCTCGAACCCATCTGACACTCCACAGGAGAAAGATGTAGCAGTCTGCTTTTGTACAAACTTACAGATTTGGATACCCTATGAGGGCAATCTACATTGTTCTACAGGGTTGCCATGAGTCAGAATCCACTTGATGGTAATGAGTTTGGTTTGTTTTTTGGTAACATACCACAGGAGCAGTACAGTGGTTAAGTACTTGGCTGCTAGATGAAAGGTTAGCAGTTGGAATCCACCACCCAGTGGCTTTGTGGGAAAAAAAACATGGCAATCTGCTCCCATAAAAATTATAGCCTAGGAAACCCTATGACCTTGCCATAGAGGGATGTTATGAGATAGAATTGACTTGATGCCGCAAATGGTTAATACACTTGGCTGCTAAGCGAAATGTTGGAGGTTCAAGTCCACCTAGAGGCACTTTGGAAGAAAGTCTGTCTAACTGCTTCTGAAAAATTAGTCATTGAAAACCCTGGGGAACTCATTTCTACTCTGACACACATAGGGTCACTATGAGCTGAAGTCTACTTGGGAATTTTTTTTTTTTTTAAACATACTATATACTTTACTAAGAAGCCCAAGTGTGGCACAGTGGTTGAAGCACTAGGCTGTTAACTGAAAGATGAGCAGTTTGAACCCACTAGCCACTCTGTGGGAGAAAGAGGTGGCAATCTGATTCTGTAAAGATTACAGCAGTTCTGGTCTGTCTTATAGGGTTGCTGTGCTTCAGAATCAACGTGATAGCACACAACAACAGCAACATAAATTTATTAATTTCCTTATTGTTTACCATTACTCATTAGAATGTGAACTTCATGAGGGGAGATATTTCTATCTGTTTTGTTCTACTGTATCCCCAATCACCCAGAACAGTGCCTGGAGCATTGCAGACACTCAAATATTTGTTGGAAGAATGAATAGACAAGCATAAGAAAAGATCTTTCTCCTAGTCCCATGGTAAAAATTAAAAGTTGATATAGAAGTAAGCTGTATACAATAGATGGTGTTTCTAAATCCATTCGTCATGAGGGCTGTGCATGGTTTTGCTCGCTGTACTTACAAAGCCGTCCTTGGGGTCATATAACCTCTGCAACAGCTGGACTGTTGTACTCTTCCCACTGCCACTGCTGCCAACCAGGGCTACTGTCTCTCCAGAGTTAATTTTGAGATTCAGGTCCTTCAGAATCTGTTAGTGTGTTTTGGAGAAAAAAAAGAACAAGCTTCCTAGGATAACTTACAATACGCTCTGTATATTTCCTGAAATTTCATATGTAATGTTAAACCAAAAACTAATGAAAACAAGCTCTTCTGTGGCACTGAAAAATAAAGTTAGATATTGTTACATGTGTGCTCCATGTACATGTATATATTTTAATTAAACCACATCTATCAGTTACTGATTTCCACAATGATGTAGGAGAACAAATGGTAAAATTATCTCTCATCATTTATCTTTATATCTCTTTATACATAGAGAGGAGAAGACCTATAAATCTAACAGGATATCTAAGTTAAGAGGACACATATTAGTTATCACAGTTAACTGTTTACAATTTCAACTAAAATTATATAATTATATAGTTTTTTGACTAGCCATTCTTCAGAAGGAAGGTTGGGCAATCTACTTCCGTAGTGATACTGCCTCAGAAACCCAAGGAGGGGTTACTACGAGTCAGGTCTGACTTGATGGCACATAACAACAAACAACAGCACTCAGTAATGAAAGTTTTATCCTTTAATTTTCAATAGCAATTAAATCTTGCCAGATATCTTTGTAAGAGAGTTAAGGAAGATCCTCTTGAGAAGCTACTTAATATTATTACAAAATATATTCCCAGGTAAAACAATAGTCAAGACTCTTCAGTGACTCCCTTGGATGTGTTGCACAATTAAAATCTCTAGCTAGTGATGGATATAGTGTTGGCAGATGAGTCCCCTAGGTTGGAAGGCACACAAAATACATAGTGGCTGAAACAGTGGACTTCAGCATATTTACCATTGTGAATATGATGAGGGACCAAGCAACGTTTCATTCTGTCGTGCAGGGGCAACAAGTTAAGTGGGATAATGCCCAGTGACCACCAGTAGGTGGCACCATCAATCCAAATCCTTTTGGTGTGCTTCCAAATCCAAAAGTGAAGTCCAAAGAATTGAAGATGTTTTATTTGGTTAAATATATGTAAAACGCTAAAAAATATAACTAGTTCTTCCACAGTAATTTGTATGTTAATGATCAATTGATGGACTGATTTATCTACTTATCTATCTATCTATCTACTATCTATCTATCTATCTACTATCTATCTATCTATCTACTATCTATCTATCTATCTACTCTAGTCTGTAAGCAAAATAACCAAAATCTTGGTCAAAATTATCCTAAACAATCTCATAAGAGAAGAATCTTAGACAGTAGATGATAAAATCAGAAAACGGTGCAATTCTTTCATTTATCCTACCTTGATAGATGGTCTTGATGGATAACTGAAAGAAACGTTTTTAAATTCCACAGTTCCTTCTATGTGTTCAGGTTTATATCCAGTTGTTGAAAAGCTATCTATAGTGGGTTTCTTGGAAAAACAAAGAGAATACTATAAATCTGTGAAGAATGAAGCTGACATTTTCTATATCCTTAAAGTATTTAAAGGTGCTTTTCTTTTGCAAGTTTTTTCTTTTCTGTATTAGATGTTAGACATGAAGCTTACAATAAAACACAATCCACTTGTAGAAAAAAGTTCAAAGAAGTCTCTCCTTCCATAGACAATTGGCCGGCGTGGACTTTTCCCATTCTATTGCTTTAGTGAGATGTGTGTGTGTTCCTATTTTTTGGGTTACTTTTCTCAGTAACGCTAGTTATTTTTCTCAGTAATTAGAGGTCTTACCTTATCAATAATCTGGAAAATATGAAAGGCGGCTCCCCGGGCTGTAGCGAAGGTCTCAAGGTGAGGGGCTGCTGCTCCAATGCAATAGCTACTGTGGATTACACTAAAGAAGACCTACAGGAACAACAACAATTTACCTTTCCACATTTATGTAAGGAGAGCACAGAATGGAGTGTATACTTGGTGGAGGGTTACAGGGAAATATTAGAGACACTAGGTGGGAAAGAATGGTAAATGCTCCTTTACATAAAGGAAATGCATGCTAATCCAGATATCCTTGCCTTTTTCCTAATATGGAACTACTTTTGGTCGATATAATTTTATGGTTATCACCTTCTAGGAAGTTTGAGCAGGAAAATCTACCGACTGAGGAATACTGGCCATGCATGACCCTGATGGGTGTATTTCAATGTATAACCCTTAGGAATTTAAGCAGGGCCCTTGGTGACACAATAGCTAAGCCCTTGGCTGCTAACCTAAAGGTTGGCAGATGGAATCCACCAGCCTCTCTGCAGGAGAAAGGTGCAGCAGTCTGTTGCCACACAGATTTACAGCTTTGGAAAGCCTATGGAGCAGTTTTCTGTCTTCTGGTGGCATAGTGCCTAAGACACTTGAATGCTAACCAGAAGGCTGATGGTTCAAATCCACCAGCCACTCCTTGGAAGGAAGGTTGGGCAATCTACTTCTATAGTGATACCGCCTCGGAAACCCAAGGAAGGGTCTCTATGAGTTGGATCCTACTCGACAGCAGTGAGGTTGGTTTTTGGTTTGGTTGGGGTTGCTATAAGTTGGAATTTGATTTGATGGCAAGAGGTTTGGTTTTTGATAAAGTTTAAAAGACTAAATTGGGATGGAGGACAGACATTTGTAGGTAGTGTGTTCTTAACATTACTGTATGTTCCAAGCACAAAGGAAAGGAGAATTCAATCTGAAGAACATTTTCAGAGAGAAGATATTTAACAAGGTGAATGTAGAAAAGTGGTGAGCCTCTTTATCTCAGTAAAGATGAGAGGAAAAGTCTTACTAGAGACTGGTCTAACAGCTGTATAAAGAAATTCTATATATGTCTTAATGAAGAATTCACTATGAGTAATCTAATAGCACAAATGCCTGCACAAATAAGTCACTAAAACCTGATGGATGAATAAATCCTGTCAATTCATAACAATAATTTAAAAATATATACACATTGCATGAAGGAAAGTATTTATAAAAAAACCTTTCTTCTTTGAATATTCATTTTCATTCAAAGAGGAATTTTTACTAAACTCTAAGTGCTCAACTATCAGCCAAAATGTTGGTGGTTTGAACCCACTCAGAGATGCCTAGGAATACAGGCCTAGTGATCTGCTTCTGAAAACTCACAGCCTTGAAAACCCTGTGGAGGGTAGTCCTAGTCTGAGGCATGTGGAGTCACCATAAGTCAGAACTGGCTAGAGGGCAACTAGCAGCAACAGCTAGGTAAGAAAAGATGATCCAGGTCAGTTACCTTTGTTATCTAACAAGACTTACAGCAAGAACAGTCCCGATGGTATAACCGGGTTCTCCACGAAGAATCAAGGAGGCCCCATACCAAAAAGCAAGACCATAAGTTCCATTCATAAAGAAGTACACAGCACCAAGAGACAGTTTTGAAACTATAGCCTTTTTCACACCAACATCCTTTGCATCTTTTAGATTCTGTGTGTACCTAAGAAGAAAAACACAATGCTCAGTGTAACAGCCCTAAGGGAAATTAAACCGAGGACATATTGTCATAGTTAACAGGACAGACCTTTGAATTTCTTTCTCTTGACCTCCAAAGGCTATGACTGTTCGAATTGATGACAGAACTTCTTCTGCTACAGCCCCAGCTTTGGAATACGCATTTAATTCCTTGCTGGTCAATGAGATGACCATCTGTAATAAACCATAACCAGAGTTAAGCAAAGAATGACTCTGGGGTAGTGCCAATGCACAGAGCATTTAATGCTTATAGAATCTAGAATAATATAAATTATTTGAAAGGTACTTAGATATCTTTTAGTCCAACTACGTCGGTTTGCAAATCAGGAAACCAAGGATCAAAATTATTAATTGACGTGTTTAAATTCTCATAGGCAATAAAAGAGCTTTGTTTAATCCAACAGAAAACCCAAATATATTTATAAATAAATAAAAATCATATAGTTTTCCTTCTACAGGTAGAGTTGCTCTGCTTTTTCTCTTTATTTAAATACAGAGAAAAAAATTTGAACAGCTTTACCTGTTATAGGAAAAAATATATTATTTTAATTTAATTTTTCCTCTAATATATGCCATCCTAAGAAGCTCTGAGGAGCTCTGGCAGCATAGTGCCTAAGGCACTTGACTGCTAACCAGAAGGCTGGTGGTTCAAACCCACCAGCCACTCCTTGGAAGGAAGGTTGGGCAATCTACTTCCATAGTGATACCACCTTGGAAATCCAAGGAGGGGTTGCTATGAGTCGGGTCCGACTCGAGGGCACATAACAACAACAACAACAACAACAACAACAATAACAAGGAGCTCTGAGGGCACAGTGATTAAAGCTTATGGGCACTAATTGGAAGTTTAGTGGTTCAAACCCACCAGTAGCTCAGCAGGAGAAAGATGTGGCAGTCTACCTTCATACAGATCACAGCCTTGCAAACCCTATAGGGCAGCTCTGCTCTGTCCTATAGGGTCAGTATGAGTTGGAATTCAACTCAATAGCAATGGGTTTGTTTTTGGTTTGATATATATCACACTGGTGGTACAGTGCCTAAGACATTTGACTGCTAATGAGAAGGTTGGTGGTTCAAATCCACCAGGAATTCCCTGGGAGATCTACTTGCATAAAGATTTACCACTTCAGAAACCCAGTGGGGGTTACTATGAGTAGGAATCTACTAGATGGCAGTGACTTTTTTTCAGTAACCCAAACCCACAGACATTGAGTCGATTCTGATTCACTGCAACCCTATTAGACAGAGTAGAACTGCTCTACAGGGTTTCCAAGGCTGCAAATCTTTCTAGAAGCAGAATGCCTCATCTTTCTCCCACAGAGTGGCTGGTGGGTTCAATCTGTCTACTTTTTAGTTAGCAGCCCAATCCTTTAACCACAGTGCTTACCCATCATTTGAAGTTTAGAAATTGGCACAACAGTTCAGTAAAATGAAACAGCAAGGACAGTGCCTTCACAGCTGCCATTCTGTAACTATTGTCTACAATATATAGCAAATATATCCACTTCCAAAGCATTCCATTAATTGTTAGGTGCCGCTGAGTCAGTTGTGACTCATAGTGACTCTATGCACAATAGAACAAAACCTATCTGGTCCTGTGCCATCCTTAAAATCACTGCTATGATTGAACCCTTTGTTGAAGCCACTGTGTCAATTCATCTCGTTGAGGGTCTTCCTCTTTTTCACTGACTTTCTACTTTACCAGGCATGATGTCCTTCTCCAGGGACTGGTCCCTCCCAATAACATGTCTAAAGTACATGAAATGAAGTCTTGCCATCCTTGCTTCTTAGGAGCATTCTGTCTTATTTCTAAGACAGATTTGTTCATTCTTCTGGCAGTCCATAGTATATTCAGTATCCTTCACCAATACCTTAATTCAAATGCATCAATTCTCCTTCAGTTTTCCTAATTCATTGTCTGTTCTATTATTTACTGATTTCTAATGTTGACCTTATAACCCTTTGTCAAAATCTCCACCTCCAACTTATTGTGAGATGAGGCCCCTTCAGCAGGAATATGTCTGAGGCTGGGTTCTATAGAGAAGCAAAACCAATGAGATAGATAGATAGATAGACAGATAGACATATATGTATATATATATATATA